GATGCGTGGCTGTGGTGCATGCAGTTTAGGCAACGGCAAGTTAACTTGCGGATTGTTCATAACAGCCGTCAACTCCTCCTCCTCCTCGATGTCGCCTTCGCTCAATCGTATAGCTTGGCTGCCTCTGCCAGTGGGACGTGTTGTACTCGCCGCATACAGAAAACTGGGCCACGCACCGTGCGTTTTGTTCTTGAACAGTGTTTGCAAGCTCTGCTGGAAATTGTATCGATCCTCGTCAGTAAAACGAGTCGTTCCGTCGGGTCGATAGAGGTGACCGTCGCCGAACACCGGAAATCCTTCCAAGTGCTGCTGCTGCTGCTTATTGTGCTCCACAAAATACAGTGTGGAAACAGCAGCCAAACTGGATGGGAACTCGTACATATTAGACTTTATATAAATATGACTTATATATCATGCTTGGCTCACCAGGCTGCCATCACAATAATCAGCAGAAAGATGATGATCTGCATCAAGCGGCTGGAGCAGATTTCATAGCCCTCATTGCTGCGATTATTTGATTTGTGAACGCGAGGTGGTAAAATGCAACGTGGCTCTAACAAATCCTTGGCACGCAATTGATGGTTATTGTGAGTGTTGTTCGCTCGCTCCAGGTTCTCTATGCGCGTCTCCAGCGATCCGGTCACCTTGCATAGCTCCTTAACGGCCCCAATGTTCTCCATAAGTATACGATCCTAGAGCAATTAAAGTATATGTTTTTCAGTATCTGTATTGTTTGGCTTGTGTTTGAGTTTTGTTTTGGACAAATACAAATCATATTCAACATTTCTTTTGTATTGTAAATAAAACAGAGTCTTTTTATCAAATAGTGGTTTCCAAAGTGTGTCAACATTCAAATCAGAATAGTGTGACCATGAAGTATCACTGATTTTGGTGTGTACATATTAAATTTGATTTAAGTTGCCATAAGTGTGACCATAAACAAGCACCGCTTAAAGGACACATTTAAAATAGTTGGGAAAAATAAGAACATTTTGCATATGCCTTAATCAAATTATGATGCCCTATATATATTTTATATAACATGTACATGATATCCCCAATTCAAATTGTTACTTTCTTATAGTTGAATTATTGTCAACTATTCCTGTTTGGTTAATTTTTACAGTGTGACCATATACGCTAACTGACTACCAGAATTTGAAGTTAGTTTGAATTTCTTACCTTATTGACCAGCAAAAAGTTCTCAATAACATTTCCATTGGGGAGTACAACGCTGCCAGCTTCTTGGACTGCATCCGGTATCACCTCACGCACCTCCTGTGCTATGACACCCGTATCGACAATTTCCCTAGTGTCACTTTCGCGCCTCAAGCCCGAGTGCACCGCAAACTCCGGTTCATAGCGATAGCGGACAATACGAATCTTTTGCATGTTGCGCAACTGCACCGAAGTATCCAATTCGGCGATTTCCTGTTTAGCGCGACTATCGCTGGGCTGGACAATATGGCCGGATACCTTGAGATTGCCATGCACCACCAGGCTCTCATCCGGCCGATCCGTATTGATGCCCACGCGACCCGCATGAAAGATGGACTCTTGTGTAATGCCACGCTGCCAGCACAGGTCCACATCTGACTCGAATTGGCCCGGATTCGAGGCACGCACAATAATACGCTCGCTGCCATGGCTAACAACAGGAAAGTGTCCTGACGTGGTGTGCACATGCAGGCCAACGACCAGCTGAAAGAAACGCTGCTCCGGATTGGGACGTCCCTTCTTGCGCATGTTATTGTTGGTCGTCTCCGAGAAGTGAAGACGACCCACGGTTATCTTGCTGACAATATGGCTCTGGAGATCGATACTGATAAAGACAAGTGTGAAATATTTATGTGCTATGTCTTAAAACAATCTTGTTTAATCAGCAGACTTACGGTACAGGATAGAATGGCTTCTTGGAGCGATCCGATTGGCTCTGTTCCACGCGTATCGTTTGGTTGGGCGCCTCGAATTTGACACCGTAGAAATGCAAGTGAAAGGATTTGATTTTCTCTAAGCCGGACGGTGTCTTCACAAATTTGGCATCTCCTTGAAGGCGCGCATGGCACGTGACCTGAAAGTGATTCTTCTTCTGGCACACATACGCGTCATCCGAGACGCTGAAATTAAAGCCTTTGTCCGCATCCACTCGATAATAAATGACGGACAGCTCCTGCAGGCTCTGATCGCACAATTTGTGCCAGTTCTCTGGCTGAAAGGGGCTAAAGCGGATGCATTGCGTCAACGCTGGATCACCAGCCTCGCTGCCTGATCCACTGCCCCCAGCTGCATTGCTGGCCTGCCCATCCAGGCTGTTCTCTGCCTGGGAATTGATGCCGGACAGGGCCGGGGAAACGGAGGCGGAGCAATGTGAGTGCGCGGGTGTCTTGCTCGGATCGTGTTCGCTGTGATGGCTGCTGCTGCTGCTGCTACTGCTGCTCGGTGCAGCAGCTGTAATGGAATGATGAGAGTTGCGCAACGGACTGATTAAAAGACCCGACTCATGCTTGGGCACACTGGGCGCAAAGTCCGGGCAATCCAATTGAGTGGACATCTTGCGCTTGCGGGACAGCGAATGGACAGGGGTCGAAGGTGTGGAGCTGCGGTTCAGTGACAATTGACTGGTGCCAATCACCTGAACACGATCGCCCAGCCCCAGCGGCGAGGTCAACATGCAGGTGGACATGGACGATAGATTTTGATAGCTGCCCGCTCCATATATACCGTGTCCATTATCGTAATGCTGATAGAGCAGCTGCTCAGGCGGCAAATCGTGATGTTGTTGCTGTTGCATTGACAGCAACTGTTGCTCGCCCAGCTGCTGCTGCTGCTGTTGTTGTTGTTGCTGCTGCTGCTGCTGACAGAGCAGGTTGTTGGCATTCATGATCAGGCCAGTCTCATGCTTAACTCGCACATCCTGCGCAGGCGCCACAAAATGATGTCCTTGCTGTGGCGTTGCGAACTGAAGATCTGTGTGCAACAGTTGTTGCTGCTGCTGCTGCTGCTGCTGCTGTTGATGTTGCTGCTGTGGCTGCTGTTGTTGCTGCTGCTGGTGCTGCGTATTTGTTAGCCCTGAATAGATGAGCTCTCGCCCATTGAGCGCATGCACATCTCCCAGCGGACTGTAGGCGGGCTCCGAGCCCGAATCGGGCGGACTCTCGGGCAGATGTGCCAGCGGCATGGCCATCGCACTCACCCGCCCTGTCGCTCCCAGCTGTGCATCCAGCACGTTCATTGGCGGCGTATGCGGCGACTCCAATTTGGAGATGCCACCAACGCCGGCTGTCTGCTCCAAGCTGAGCGTCTCATTGTTGCCATGCTGTGCTGCATCATCGAGCGATCCGACGCCAGCGGCTTGCATAAACAAATCGAGTGCCTCATTGTCGATGCCATCCATGAAATCGGGGCGAGCTGCAAGAGAAAACAGAGCGGGAATGAGACGAAAATTGTATAGAAGAGTTGAGAGTGTGCTGAGCATAAGTATAAGATTATACGTTGTACAACATGTTGCTAAGAGTATAAGTGGGAGGATATATAGCAGTATAAGAGGGGAGCATAGTATAAGTAGAAGTAGAGTGTATGTAGAGCTAGGCATAGGAGCGTGTATATGTGTTAGTTCAAATGGAGTATATCTAAATCCATACTCAAGAGTATAAGTGGGAGTATAAGTAGAAGAGAGCATAGGAGTATGAGAAGTTTCATGTCGAGAGATTCATGAAAGTATGATAATGAGTCTAAGTATATATGTATGCTAGAATATACGCACGGCTATGAGTCATATGAGTTATGGATGAGTGTAAATATATTAGCATGCTTATGCTAATGAATACTAGTAGTAGTATAAATAGATTGGTATGAGGGTAAGAAAGATATTGACTATTTGTTGTATTTCGCCTGATTATTGGCAAATGATTTGTGCTCACAAGTATAACTATGAGTATAAGTGCGAGTGTAATTAGTATATCTACAAGTACAAGTACAAATATTTGTATGAATATGATTAAGAAATTGAGTAAATGGAGAATAAGCATGTATCTGAGTATGAGTATAATTGAAATGAGAGAATAAGTTTGAGTATACATATAATAAATATACATAAGTAACCAAGGAGGCAGAACTAAGACATGTGCGTGACTAGGAGCAAGTCCATAAGCATGAGTATATATAGGAGTATGAGTAAAAGTATTAAAGTGAATGAATATGATAATTATGCACATAACTATGGGTATAATATAATATATATGTCAAATATAATGAATAATGAATAATAATAGCAATAGATAAAATAAGTAAAAGTAAGCAAGAATTAAATATTAGTAAAGGAATAAAATAAAAGTATGTATGATACTTAGTCTAAGTAGGGATATAAGCTAGCATATTATCATATAAATGAGTAAGAGAAGAAAGCAATATGAATACGAGTATGATAATGAGTATTAACGTAATGTAATAATTAGTATAGTGTGATGATAATGAGTATAAGACGAAGTATAGGTATGCATATAAATTAGTATAAGTCTGAGAATGAGAGTGTATATGCAAGTTAAGATTATGGACAGTCTTTATAGTATACTCGTTGTGAATATATGTGTAGGTGTGTATAATTGTAAACTGAGAGTGTAGAAGAGTGTATAAGATTGACTGCAAACTGTGAAGAGCTCAATTAGCTAGACAATGAAAACAACTGAGAATTGAGTTCTTATCATACGACTTAATTGCCTGCAACTATAAGATTTTCACATTTATTTTCTATTAATTGGCTTTCTATTCAGATAATTAAAGTAATTGTAAATTTCCGTCTGATATTAATAAATAAAATAGTTAAAACAAGAACTTGTTAGCTAAGCTATGAGCAATCCCCAAAAAATGTATTGCCAAGTAAATAAAAATATTTTTCAAATATTTATTTTGTGCACACGCTTGCTGCAGCTCATTGAACACAGATTATTGATAATGTTTTGTTTTTATTTTAATTTTTTTAATATTATATATTTGTTTTTTAGGAGGCGTTGACAACCAAATGCGTACCACAAAATGAGCGATAAAAATGGAATTCTAATTGTAATCAAGCGAAAAAAAAAACATACACAAAAAATAAAAAAAGAAGAGCGGGGAAGAGAAGTGAATTGATAAGCGGAGCGTGTTTGATCGATAAAGAAGTGAGGCAGAGCAAGAAGTAAATGCAAATGCCAGGTGAAATAAAATTATACAAATTACCATTTAATGTTTTTGGATAATCCATAGTCAAGTTGATTTAGATATAACAATAAATATGTATATTTCGAGTTTGTTTTTGTATTGAATGAGACGCGTTGGCCAGGCCCAAACAAATTGCACTAATAGCCAAGTTAACAGCTGCTGTTGCTGCTGCTGCTGCTGCTGCTGCCACACAGCATCCACAATAATTATTATAGTATTATAGACCAATCGACAAAGAGAGTGAACCAAAAATAGTTGAAATAAAACAACAATTATCTAATGCACAAGCGGTTGATGCACTTTTCACAACTCGCTGAGCAGTGAAAATGCGCTTTTCCAACTGTTTAATAGTGTTTTTTTTACTTTTTTTTTTTTTAATATTATATATAAAGCAAAAGAAAACAAAATTATAATCATATAAACAACTTGAACAGAAACAGAAGCTCGTCAAGTAATTGAAAGCGAAAATGAAACCCAATTAAAAATAATAAAAGAAAGAGAGAGCGTATAAGAGTGAGAGAGGGTCAATAGAAAAAAGAAGGGAAAAATAAAACCATGTGGAAATTTAAATCAAATTATATATTTTTGCAAGTGTTTTTTCATTGTAGATTTTAAAATGTTTTTACATATGCATTCACAATTCAAAACATTGCAGCAAAAGCTGTTTTACAATTATTATTTTACTATAATTATTGTTTTTGTTATTGTTATAAAATATTTAATTTGATTTTTGTTTTTTAGCCGCGCCTCAACGTCAAATACGTTGAGTTATTTCAGTGCACTGAAATTTGATTTGGCCTGCTAAATGATTTGAATTCGCGTCCTGCTCGCAGCAATATTGATCAAACAAAGCCAAGCAGGCGACATTATTTAGCAATATATAAACCTACATACATATTTATGTATAGCATATAGTATATATCTCTGTATGTCTCTATATATCTATGGCTATGCCCAAGTCGAATGCTGTTAAGCATTTGCCGACTGCTACATTCAATTTATTTTTTATTTGCCATCTATTTTGGTAGCCGCATTTAGATTTTGTTATTGACGAAACGGCGCATATTTTGGAGACCAGTCGAAGGACAATTTATGCCACTGCTATTTTATGGCCCTGCCATGGGACATTATAATTCTGGATTTTTATCATCACCAACGCATATCGAATCTATTTGCCTTTAATTTTACTCCAAAAACAACTGTACTTTAGGAGCTCAACTTTTAGCTGGGTAACGTTGCTCAAATATATAGTAAATTAATTTTATTTTAATTACTTTTTTTGTTTCATACTTACAAAAGTCCGGAAATTCGAATTCCATGTTCATATCCGAAAATAGTTAGTCCAATAAATGTTTATGCGTTAGTCGTCATCCTTTCCAGATCTTATCAGACTCTACCGCATCATTCCGATTCTTGTTTCTGCTGCAAGAGTAGAAGTTAAGTTTAATGGAAACTTTTTTAATCGTTAATTTTTACAATATTCACAATTTCTGTTTATTGCACTCGTGTTGCAATTGTTTATAATTTATTTTTCAGTAAAGTTGCAATTCGAATAATAGAAAATAGATGCATATATGGTCAAGTTTTTGTCGCGTCTTATTGTGTTTATTACAAACTAACTCTGACTTTCCATAATTCCCGGAACATTGTATTTATTATAATAAACAACAATTCCCGTTGAATATCATTGTGTTGAAGTATTCTCTCTTATGCGACGCGACGTTGGCAGACAGCGCGATTATAGATTTTTTTTTTAAGATTTAAGAAACATGTTTTGTTTTTTTTTTTGCTTCATGATATCGACATGACGTCGCAGTTAATATATATAATATATATATGTATATTGTATATATATATTTATATGTACTTGACATGATATCTCATTTGTACTGTGGACCAGGCGAAACGAAAAATAAAGAAAATAAATAAATAAAATGCAAAAATTACAGATAAACAATTTGCATTGCCAGCACACGAGCTATAAACTGATGTCTACTAAGAGTATTTTGTTGTTGTTGTTTATATGTATGTATGTATGTATAAATATACCCGAGTGTTAGGTTTGTGTTTTACTCAGAATTTGACATTAAGCTTTAATGGGCATTAAGTTATAGGAATCGAGCTCGTGCCGAACCGTTCTTTTAAACATTCCAGTTTCTATTTGTATACATACATATATGCATATAGTCACACACATACACACACACACTAAGAAAAATGCATGCCTGTTTTTGTTAGCTAAACTCTATGGAAATGTTTTGAATAATTTGGATCTTTTCGGTTGCATCTTAATTAAATTTTCGAGTCAGGGCTTATGGTAGCTAGAAACATATTTAATACTTTACTTATGTTTTTGTATACTGCATATACTATTTATAATACATATACTATATAACGATTCATTAGAACAAATGTCTTAAATGATCTAGATACATTTGAAATAGTTTTAGTTCATTAGGAATTCATTGAAATGAACTTTATGATTAGCTACGCATAAATTTCAACTGAATGGCTCTTATAGGCTTAATGGACAGATATTTGGTTTTTGATGAAGTCTAAGAATGTAGCTACGTCACGCCTTAATAATATGCCAACTTCCCTATCTTATCTAAAACTCGTTTTTTATATGCGGAACGAATGAGAATTCATTCAGTTTCATTATTATTTTATAAACTAACATCAATTTATTTCTTCTTATTCACAATGTGAACGCATCCTTGTGTATGTCTTTTGATAATCAATTTTCAGCAAGTTTTCCAAATATTTTTAAAAAGAAATTTCAGATTTTTAGCGCAGCTAAGTATGCAACGAAATTTCGTAAAATCATTTCGCATCAAACTTAATTTTGTGAATGCAAAATCTATGTAGCACGCAGACTAGAATATATCTTTTTCAGTTGTTGTTGTTGCTTTTGTTTTTAATTGCGTTTTAAGCGACAAAGTTTTTTTTTTTTTAATTTGTCTGTCTGTCTGTCTGTGCGCTTGTTTCTGTGTCTGTTTCTTCATTTTTTATGGCCACTCTGATTGTTCTGCGCATTATATCTGATTTATTTATATTTCATATGTATATATGAGTATGTATGCAGACATATATACACAGTTATATATATATAAATGTGGTGCATTGAGATGAAATGCGGAACTTCTCATATCGGCCAAAGAGCGTGACTTAATTGTTTTCATTCACTTTCTAAGACTTTGCTTTTGAGTTCATTCATAAGTAACTCTTATGAGAAGCAAATATTATTAAAATATTATTATTATTATAAAAAATATTATTAATTATTTAGAAAAATGTATTATTATTATTATCATTTATGAAACGAGTTGAAAATAATTAAAAATGCTTATAAAATAAAAAATATTCATGTTGTATAAAAATGTATATTTTTATATGAAATTTAATATTTATAATGCACAATAATATATAAAAATATATATATTATTTTAAGATGCTAGTTACATATTTGAATATAAACTATAAACTTTCTGCAGTAGTACTAAACAGAGAATATGGATTAAAGACATTCTCTAGAGTACGTCTCAGCTATCATCACATTTGCTGTTGTTGTTGTTGTTGTTGTTGTCGTAGTCGCATTCATTGACGTCGCATTGTCGCAATGATTTTGATTAAATTAACGCTTCGACTACAGCTTCAGCTTCAGCTTGAGCTATGGCTATGGATATGAATGTGGATTTATACATACATATGTATATAATGTGTATGTATATTATATATGTATGTATATAGATATTTGCAAAGTTCCCAAGCAGAACAGCAAACAAAATGCTTTTCATACGAAAATAACTCAAGTGAGTTGATTTGATTTAGTTTTGACACAACAACAACAACTACAAACAGCAACCAAACTTGATTTGGAATTGGTAAAAAAAAAAAGAATACTGAAATGAAATAGAAAACAAATCGAATTGAAAAAAAAAGTATAACACGTATAATAATGACAAGAGTTTTTTTTTACATTTTTTATTGAAGAAGCAGCTGCGAGTTCTTGAAATAACTAAATTATGAAAGAACAGAAAGACTAGCTGACTATTGAATGCTCTATTATTTATTTTTATTTTTAAATTATTGTATAAACAAATTAAGTTTATAATTTATTTAAATTTATAGATGTGTTTCTTGTTTTTATATATATTTTTATTTTATTTTTATTTCCATATTAAATTATTTTGCAATAATTTTATTTAATTTCTGTCCAATTTTTCAAATAGCTTAAGCTTTGTCATTTGAATATTAATCATATTTAAGCTTTTAGCTATACTTATAGAAGACTTATCTAAACTGTATAAGAAATACCATATAACATTTATACGCTAGCTAATCAACTCTTTTTGTTTATATACGAACGAACAGATGAAAAAGTGCCATAAAAACCTGTCGCTGCTGCTGTTGCTTTAGCTGTTGTTGTTATATTGATTTAGCCGGAAGTTAAGCTCAGAGGCAGATTGTTTGTTTTTGCTATAATTCTTATTTTCTTCTTCTTCTTTTTCTTGTTATTATTGTCGCTGCTTGCAGGGCGCTCATCCTTGAGCCACAGTTAACAAACAGCAGCAAAAACTGTAAACGTTTTTTTGGGTTTGTGTCAAATCTTTAGCATTTCAATAAAACTTTTGCATTGAGCTGCACGATTTGGCCACAAAATTGGTTAGCCATAAATCTGATTCGAAAAAATACCTATGTATATATACACAAAATGAGAGAGCGAGAGAGAGAGAGCGAGAGAGCTTTGCATGCTAATTGTTGTGAGTGGCATGTGATTTGGAAAATATTTCAATTACATGCGGATTAGCTGGGTAAGATAAGAGCTCCATGCTCAACCAGCCAGAACTGAGCAGCAACGCATGATTTCAATTTGTACGTATGCAAATAGTCGACTCTAGACTCAAGCGTCAAAAAGTTAATATATCTATCTATAGGGATTTATGGGCATGTGTCTCAAAGACCAAACAAATCAATCAAATTAGCGAGCCGACTCTAAAGAATTACGCAAATATGTTTGAATTAGCCTCCAAAAAAATTTATATATACATACATATATAATACAGACCAATCCATCTGGCTGCGATTTCAGGGCCTTTTTAATATTCATGGTATTAACATACATATATATGTCTGTATATAATATCATAACTATATCTATTATGATTCATGTGTAATATATATAGATATATATATGTATGTCGATTAGTCTGGGCCGCTGACTAGCAATTAACACTGTTTTGTTAAGTTCAACGAAAGCATGCCACACATATTGGAAAGTTTGTAAATTTTTTATTTGTTTCAGCCTTAAAGCCTGGCTTTATAGTAATCGATAACTTTCTGGATTAAATATACTTAAAAACTCTTTCGTTCGAATGGAATGAAAGCTAGGATTCATTCCAGGAATATTCCTATTTTCAAGTTCCTTGAGACATTTATAGACAGATTTTTGTATAGTTTAATGACCCATCAGGAATATTCAGGTGTCCCTCTAATGAGCATTTGCAACTTGTGCCAAAATTTGTGTCAACTATTATTTGACACGTATAGAATATTGAAAAGTTCATTGAACTCTTAGATTTATGGCGTTGCCATACTTTTCCCCCCTTAATATTGTTATTTCAAAAAGTGAAATTTTACCAATAGGAAAAATATATAAGAAATAGCTAAAAAATGCGTTTTAAATTAACAGCTACCCACTAAGCTAGGCACATTTTAGCGTTGCCATACTGCTAGTATTCGAGCTGCTATTGCTCACAGCGTTTTTATTACCTGCTAAACATTTAACAACTCAAGAGATTTGCTTTTATAGCCAAAATTAAGCTCTTGATATTAGCCACAAATCACAACGAAAACATTTGATACCACAAAAACAATTAACTGTTGTTTTGCCCACTGAGGCGCTCGCGTTGCCAGACTTTAGTGCCAATTACTGGAAGCTAGGGGAAACATTGATCAAACTCTGATATAATTAGCATAATAAAATTATACATAATTGAATATATTTTTATATATAAATGTTACTCTGCACAAAATCCGGTATTATGCCACTTGGCAATTATTTCAAGTTTTTAGTATGATTTTGTTTTTAAAGAAATCCCAAGAAGAATAGAAACAGAAGCGGATGTATACAAAAGTCGTATGGTTTTTACCCGCTGATAAATAATATGAAATATATGTTTTAATTTGAATAACCAAATGATGATCTATTCAACAATAATTTAAATAAATTTATTGAAATATTTCTATGGGTCTAACTTCTTGCTTGGTGCTAGAAGAAATCTAGAGTCTTAGGCTTGGCTTTTGCCCCCTTTTCATGCACATCATCTTCTTTCTCTTTCTCGCCGATCTGCTTTTTGTTTTTATTTCATTTTACAAATTATTGCCGCTGCCGCCGCTGCTGCTGCGCTGAAACCCAACCAACCGGTTGAATTTGATGTCTTTTGCTGATGATATTCCAATTGCTTTTTGTTGTTGTTTTCCTTTGGAGACGCGCGCTGCTGACGTCTTAGTGGCTGCTGCGGCCACTTTTGTTGTACTTGTTGTTTTAGCTTTTTGGGCTATTTGTTGTTGTTGCTGTCGCTGTTTGTTTTTGCGCGCTTGGCACAGGTTGAAACGATGTGGAAGAAGCAGCGGTAACAAAAAAAACAAAACCGATAGCAGAAAGAGACGCAAATACCCAAACTGGCCGAGATCTTAGCATGTATTTGAACTTGGTTACCATCTCCGGCCGTTGTAGGTGCCCACCACTCCCGCCCCACCACTGCACAGCCCACCTGTACGGCATAAATTAGTTAAGTCGTGCGGCAGGTGGGCGACCACTTTACATTGAGAGGAGTCTCTCTCGCTCGAGTTGATGTGCCAGACAGCGTTTAAGCCAGCAACAATTAAGTTTGCATTCTTTAACAAATCTCTACTGTTGTTGTTTGCATATTATTAAATGAAAGGTAAGCGCTTGTACGTGGCTTTAGCTTGGTGTGAGTATGGCACTCACACGCGCAGTCTATCTCGCTCGCACATCAACTCGCGCTTAGATTTGTGTTTTTGTGTTTGTGCTGATGCTGCGCGAGCTGTTGTTATTGTATTTGGTTTTTTTTTTGTGGGAGTTTCATTGTTTTTGCACATTATTATTTGAACTAAGATATACATTGGAATCTGTGTGCAAACATGTTTACTTGACGCACGCACACAGGCACACATACACAAGCACGCACACACACACAAATGTGCACACGCAGCATTTGTTTTGCCCATTTGCACAGATTTTTTGTGTTGTATCTTTTTTATGGCTTTTCTTAATTTGCAACAATTTTCCAGTTTTTCACTAAGTCGCTAGCTTTGACTTTGATTTCATTTGTTGTTTGTGTTGCTTTCTCTCTTGCACTTGCTTTTTATAGTTGTACATATTATTGCATTTTTATTTTGCACACACATATTATTGTATACATATATAGATATAGAAATACACTTACACAAATTTCCGTTAGTTTGACGTTTGTATTTAACTATAATTGTTTACGTTTATTTGATCGCTTTGGGTTTCACGCTTCGTATACGCGATTTAATTTTACTAACAACAACTACGGCGCTCGTCTTTTATTATTTGTGTGCCGTGATTTCTATTTGATTTGATATATGGTACACATACACATATATCAAGTTATTTCTTTTTTTTTTTTTTAATTTTTTCGTACAACCAGAGCGCGATATCTAAATCGGTTAGAGTGTGAACAGCAACTGGGCGAGATCATGCGCTCCGTTTGCCTGCCTCTCCATAGCCGCTGCTTAATGAAGCTTAGCTTCGGCTGCGGAGTTGCCAGTGCGCTCGCCACGCTTTGCGCTCATCTGGCAACTACGTTAAGCCGAACACGCGCGCGCTCACTCACACACACACGATGGCACATAGCCAAGCGCGCACGAACGATAAGAAGCAACAACAAGTAATGTAAATTAAATTATAACTAGTCGAGCCAACAACAATGGGCCTTAAGCTAAGCCCGGCACATTTACTTACTGTACAGCCGAGGAGTAGCGACGCGACGCCAGCGTCGGCGCTCTCACGCTGACACAAATCTGTGTTGGAGAATATTCTCACTGAATGTTTTTGTTTTTGTTGTCATTTGCGCCTTCAACTAGTGTTGTAATGCGTTGCAGTTAACCCATCAACGCATAATTTCAACTTTAAATCACTTAATGGAGCTCTATGTTTACATGAAGAACCCATATATACATATAAATACATGTATGCATATAAGTATGTACGCACACACACCAGCACATTTCGGGTAGCAGCTTTCTCTGATTGAATTAATACGTTGATTTATGTAAATTACACTAATTCATATTACTCAATTTGCTATTTAATATTCATTGCTCGATTGCGCGACGTTCGTGTTCTCGTTCTTCTTTCATGTGAGAATAGTTTTTATTTACTTTCAGAAAGAGAAAAAAGGTAATTTATCTTGAATTCAATAGAAGAGCGTTGAAATTAACGAGCAGTTCGAATGCATTTGAGGATTAAATAATAAGTAAAAGCATTTCAAAACATTTGAGAGCTTCATTGTTTAGGTAAGCTAGAAGTTTGATAAAATCAAAATTTACAGTATAGGTTGAAAATATGGCTATTATAAATATAAATAAATAATTTCCAGTTTTTGAGCTAACAATTTGAAGCGATTCAAGTACATTTATTGTTTATAACAATTTTTAGGCTACATGGTAAAGCTTGCCAAGTTTTTCCAAAAGACCTGGATTGTTTTTGGGAAACTTTGAAATTGCATCCAAGATACAAGCGGCCACTGCAATGAATAGAAGTATAGATTAATATAAAATATCATAGATTAATATACATATATAGAGTAGAGGTACTCACTATTCTTGTCCTCTGGCGACATAAATATGGACAAAATGCTGAATTCATCATTTTTACTTATCTCCAGCATTACTGCTGCTGTAGTTGGCTCCTTGTTGGGCACATAGAAATCGTTCAGTGTGCGCAACAAATCCGTAAACGTATCCGAGTCAAAGCCAGCGCCAAGTACTCTACATAAATTGGGTATTTCAATCGATTTCAAATATTGATATTTCTGATTTGGTGACAATTCCTTCCAAGTCATATAAAACTGGGCTGTGCCTGACGGAGCAGGTGGTATGCGCTGCAGGAAAGCCAAATTATTAGAATTGATCAATAATAATGTTATACTTTTAGGCTTACCTCCATTGCTGTAACTGTTTTGTCCTCTGAAACGATCTTAGTTGTGTTGCTTGTGCTAGGTTTTTCAATTTCAATTGGCTTGGCTACAGGTGTGATATCATTCTCTTTCCTTATTGGCTGCAACGGAGTTTTATTGAGGTTATCTAGTTCCTCTACAATTTTGATACTTTGATTTGATTCAGGTACTGGCTGTACCAAATCGGGAAGAACAGTTTCAATGACTTTTTTCGTAGATTGTGAACTATCTTCCTTGACAGTTGACTGATTAGCTGGTTGCTTAGTTTCCTGAATCTTAGCATTTAAGTTTTCGTTGACTGGCTTTTTCACCTCTTCGAAGGGTCCACAATTACTATTGAATATCTTATCAATTTCTTCATCCGAGATGCGCAATTGCTTTTGCTCTTGCTGACCAGGACGGGGTGTTACAATATCTACAACAGGGACACGGCGCATGCGTTGTTTGGAGCGCCTGGATGCAGGCTTCTCAAATGGCAAGATATCCACAAAATCTTCTCGATCTGGACTGAAGTTGGGACCATTTTTGGTAGCTAGGGAATACGACATAATTAGCTAACAATATATATTATATTATTATCATTGAGTACCTATTTTTCGCAAACGATCATTAATGCGTTCCAAGCTGCGTTTGGCTTCATAATTCTTCGGGTCTATGGCCAGCACAGTGGTGCAATCTTTAAGGGCTTCCATGTTGTTTCCCAGCGATTCGTTTGCTTGCATGCGCCTATAGTAAGCCTTGACGCACAACTTGTCCAGCTCAATGGCTGCATTGCAATCCTCAATGCAGTTATCATAGCTAGAAGAAGCAAAATCGATTTATTTATCTATGCAATATATACTATATCATTCATTACCTTTCTTGCTTCAAGTAACACAAAGCTCTATTGATAAAGTAAATGGGATCCTGTGGATAAACTTCAATAGCTTCGGTATACGCTTCAATGGCCTTCTCATATTCAGTCAATTTCACATAACTATTGCCGCGATCCTTGATGTCATTTGCCTTCTTATGCTGCTGGGCCAGTGTATCTATAGGAAAATCCTTTTTCTCAGTCGGGGTGCTCGCTGCGGAGTCAACTGAGCTACCTTTGGCAGTGCTTGATGCTGGCTTCTTGACTGTCTCATCCGTTTTCTGGACGTGGCTGCGCACGGGTGTATTCTAAAAAAAACATGTTGACCTGATATTTTATATACATATGACCAAAATTTAGATTACTCACGTTTTTCTGAATTTTTGGAGCGGGAGCATTTTGCATTGCCAGCTCCTTGCTTTTTATTTCCTTCTCCCATGAGTACAGATCTTTGACCGAGTTCTGATACTCACGTGCGTTTTGACGCACCTGAAATTGTAAGTCCATTGCCTTTTTTTCGCTACTCATTTTACTATTTAATAATTGTTGTTATTCTCGAAGAGCGCAATTTTTTTTGGTTGTCATGACAGCGATTTCTTACGACAATGTCGATTGCAGCAATCTGCCATCGATAGGTATGCGATAGTATTGCGAAGAATCTTATCGATACTCACACACACACAGCTCGCTTTTCAACACTTGAAATTTTATTTATGTTTTTCGGTGGAACAGACTAAATTGAGAAAAATTATTAAGTTATTTACATAAACAGCTGCGTGTAATTTCGGACAAGGGAGCTCAGTAATTATGCTCCGCCTATCGACTTTGAAAGTGCTCACAGAGACGGCCACTAGACAAAAGTAGGTAACACTATCAGGTCGTTGCTCTTTTGTTGTTGTTATATAAAATAACGTTTTAAACTTTTATTTTATTGTAGTTTCAACAACAATGCAAGATATCAGTCAAAAAAACCGGAGACCTACTACGATGTGTTAAATGTTAATCAAGATTGCAGCAAGCGGGACATACGCAATGCCTACCTGAAACTGTCCAAGCAGGTGCAACAAGTGTCATTGATTATCAATTTATTTAACTAATTATATATGTATTTATTTATAGTATCATCCTGATGTGATGAATAACGCAGCGAGTGTGGAGAAAACAGCACGATTTGTAAAAATCACAGAGGCTTATCAGACATTGGTGAAGGCGTCATCCCGTAGAGATTATGACGAAAGTTTATCATGGAATCCGGGCGCGATGCGCGAAACAATTCCACCCTGGGATGTTAGGCCCAATTATAGCGCAAACCCTGGCCCATATTATGGCATCAAGGGCTTAAATCGTGTCTCCAACTGGCAGGTAGCCTTATTTCTCCTCTCGCTCGGCTTAATAGGTGCAATCTTTGGTTTCAGCTCGGTGAGGTGAGTACGTTAGACTCAGATGCGTCTCGGAAGATATTCTAAATGAATCTTTGCAGACATTCATTCGAGCTAAGCCGTCAATATCAGGACGATGTCTCAGCGGAGGCGAGTTCTCACCATGCGGCCGTAAGAGCCGATGCGCAAAAATATGGCAATGAAGAGCAAATGCGTCGAATGGTGGAGCGCCTGGCCAGAGATCCGATTGCCAGGGCTGCAGCCAAATAAAATCATGTTATTAAATATGTAAATAGACCAAATTCTTTGTAAATAGATTTGCAAACAACAATATCTTTTACTCATGTGATAAGTTGATTAAATCATGTAGTTATTGCGAAATTCAGGAGGCGCCGTAGTATGAATTTCTCGAATATAGTTCTATATAATTTTATAATGTATATTTTGTGATAAATTAATTTGCAATTAAAAACAAAACATTAAAAAATAATCACTTTTAGACATATATATATTTATTTTGCTAATTTACCACATTTTCTATGCAAATAATTATAATTTACTATTGCAGCAAATTGATTTAAATATGTGCTGCAAAAAGCATGGGTAGTGGGATCTACCACAAATTATTTTTTTTAATAAATATATTTTTAAATTTACAAACAAATCTTTTGTTTTATCAACTTTTGAGTTTGCAAAAGTTTTACTTTTTCAATTGACTGAAATTGAATTAAGAATTTCTGCTAATTACTCTTTGTTTATTTATTTATTGATCATGTTTTCGCTATACATAAAACAAGTTTTTCTTTTCATTTATTTATTTTCACATTTAGCAATGCTTGAGCAAAAAACGGAACACTTAAAATTAACATCGCGAACGTGCGAGTTATAATTACATTTAAATTTATATATTTATTTATTTTTATATATAATTTTATTAAAAATTGTACTTAGTTAATTCTTCTACTAGGTTTAACAGAAAATTGAATGAAATGAATTCACGATTCTCGAAGCCCACCACCGAACACACTACAAACTAAAAATCACATATTTTCTATTAAAAATGCAAAAAATTGCTCTCGCAACTAGTTCAAGCTAATTACAATGTCGACTTGCTCTTGTCCACCTCCTTGACCAGTATCCGTGCAGCCACATGTGGAAGGGCTGGCTGAAAGACGGTTACACCGTCTACCTTGTAGTCGGCATAGTTTAGTTTGTAGACCTCATGGAAGCCCAGTTTCTCCATGACGCGGGCCGAATAGTGACTGGAGCACATCACATGATAAACGGATATGTTATTGAGACGCATATACTCATAGGCGCGTTCGGTGAGGCGGCCCGCAATGCCCAGACCCCGGTAGTTGCTATCCACAGAGAGAATTTTGCCATCCAGGATAACATCCTCATTCGGATACAGATCAAAGATGTTAAAGTTTTCCTCTATGTGATCCATTAGATTGAGTATTTTTTGGAATTTCGGATGTAGGCAGGTTGACTTCTCAACAGTATCTGTTGGGGACTGCAGGGGAAACTTATTATTGCCATTATATATAAATCTATTTCTCATGTGAACTTACAGGTCTCTTCATTAGACCATTGATATAGACACCGATAATTTCGCCCTTATTGTTGACTGCCTTATATGAGCAATTGTCCTTGATAGGCTTCACTGAGTACTCTTCTAGCTCTTTGCACTCGCCGAGGTCTAGATATGTATTTAGTGGCTCATCCTGCGAATGGAAAAGAAAACAAAAATGAGTAAAGATTATAAGTATAAGGGATAAATATCTGTATAATATTATGTAAATATCGATATCATTCAAATCATATCATATCAAGATCTATTAATTTAATTGTATGCACACAACTTAAATTGAACAATCTGTACAAATTATTCAAGCAATTACGTGACATCAGAGACATTAGAATTACTCGAAAATGATTTATGTGCACGCATTTGTAATCTATTATCTGCATTTATTATATACCCTGAAAATGTTTTACAAGTGGTTTAATGCTTTTCTGACAACATGTGGCACAGGTTGACGTTTGAAATATTAAAAATATTTATAGCTGCTCAAAAAGTAGCAGAACATTAGCTTGTAAATATTTCATCAAAAACATCTTAGGGTATTTAAGGCGAGAAAATATTATTAACTTCTGTCACAACCAAGTGTCTATGATCAATTTATTTTATTTAGCGCCTATTTTAGGGTAATTCTTAGTCAAGCTACACCAACCAAATTACTTTTACACGTTTTAATCAAAGATTATGCATAATTTATGGCAAATGCAAAACGGAACCGGAGCTCAGTCAGTCAGTCAGGTTTGCTTACATACATATATGTATATAATATATATGTATATTTATATACATATAAGCACATACATATATATCACGCTTTTAAAATTAATTGCAATTCAATACAGATTTTTGGCCTCACCAACTGGACTCAAAAGGTGTCATACGATAAGATCGACACAGGTTATATTTATATATGTATATATGTAATATATGATAGCCTGCAGTGAAATGTTAGCCAATTAAAGATATCCAGTCGTGATCTACAAAGCCAAATGACAGTTTCTCCAACTGGTTTTTGGCAGATAACTTCGATTCAGTCTTAAGCTAAACCTAGCTGAGGGTTTTTTTTTTTTTTGGGTTTTTATTCATTCGTTAGTCATTGCAAGGATAAAAAGGTTTGAGACACCATAAAAATGTTGATTTAATGCATAAAATCCAGTTTTGGTGCAATTAATTAAGCAAATCTTGTTAACTAAGGCTCATTAATTATTCCAATGCTTTATTTATAAGATTTCTGCTATGTTTTGAGTCTCGCTTCGAGCGGAGAGTGGCAAATAAAATAAACAAATAATTTATCAATTTATTAAGAGTCATTAGAAGAGCAAAAACTTGCAAATTTATTTGAATAAAAAATTAGTTTAAAAATACGAATTTTTTTTAGAACTGTGATTAATTAAAGAAAAGTAAATAATTAATAGACAGAATAAAAAAAGGGGACACGATATAAAAATAACAATAGCATATTATTTTTAAATATATTACCTTAAAGAAAAAAGTCTTTAGCATGGCTAGAACTGCCTCTGTGTCTTCTGGCTGGACCAGCTCTATAGTATAGGGGCAGTCCTTATCAATTTTTGGCGACGACGACGACATATTAAGCACGTCCAATTTCTGTGTCAAGCGGGTGATCGGATATAAATCGTTCAGCTGTGGAATAGACGAAACAAGTTACAAATACATATATACTCATAATATATACATTCACACATATGTATACAAATGCACATACATATGTATATGTGTTTGGATTTATTATGGTTATTTATTGCTCTTAGATGAAAGCTAGACATTTTAATTTGAAGCACATGTGCGCGAGCCGACAGCAACTACGCGCTGACGATGACGACGACAACAATTTTCACTTGCATTTCCAATTTTCCATTTTCAATTTTCAGTTTTCTTTTTTCATTGCCATAGCTGTATTTTCATTTGCTTTTCATGTACACTTCTGACAACTCGCATAAATTATGGTTTAATAATTAATTCTTTTACTTGAAGGCAACGGCTGAACAAATGTTTTCCTTTTTCTTTTCTTCTACAGTTCTAATCGAAATTTTTAGATTTTTCTATATGTGCGAAAAGTTTTTGGGATAAATCAGCGAACTTATATAAGCTATGGATATTACAATGGGAAGTTTAATTTAACAATTTTCATAAAGAACTAAAAGTATTATCATGGTTTCTGAGACTTCGAAAAATGTTTTTTTTTTTTTTTCGACTTGCCACGCCCCTATTATAATTCTTGCTTCGTGATTATATTCAAAAGTTTTTAGAACTCTACATAATTATATTCTTATTATATTTTTGGAAATTTTGTTTTTAAATGTATATATAAAGCTTTATTATTGTTTTTAATTATTTTATAATTTAGCCAAAAATTCTCTTTATTGTTTTGAATAGCATTAAAGTTGTTTTGAACGTTTAAGTATTTCTTTTTATTCATTTAACAATCAAAATACGTAAACTACACATGAGTGGTACAATAGAATCTACTAAAAATGTAGCACTTATATATATCGTCTATAAATTCCTAAATCTTTAATTTAAATATTTCCTTCTTTTTCTTGTTTGTTTGCCATATATTGTAATTGCATTTTAAGCACCCATTTGAAGAGCTATCAAAGCACAGGCCCCTTTATAAATTGATGTAGCTAGACATACATATATTTCGGCAAATGTTTACACTTGGGCTAATTAATCAATATCTTGGCTCGACCTATTCGATCTATTAATGGCACGCAGTCTTCCTCCTTCGCTATAGTATTTATAGAGCCACTCAATCCTACGGATTCGGAGGTACATACCCCACGCAAATGGCAAATGTTTACGAAAGTGTTTATGGAAACGGTCGATCAACCACTACTAGACTACATAGGCATTACATAGCTATGGTATACACTTACCGCACATCTGGAGTCAAGGATGCGGCATTTGCTTTGCAGCTGTGGCTGCTCGCGCATTTTTTCTACCTCCATTTCTTTATTATTATTTTACTTATGTTTTTTTTTTATAGACTTTTGTCTGAGGCGTGAGAAAATGTTATTAAAAAACGTATAGGAAAATCGCTATCATATATACATACATATATTTACTATATATAATATATGTATTTTGTTTAACAATATTGTTTTTGCTTTTTGGCGCGCGCGTTTCTAAGGTATTTTCTGTTGTTGTTTGGCATATGTTTATTTGCCAACGTATTTATATTTATTATTGTTGCTTTTGTTTTTTTGTTTTTTATTATTTATTTTTCTTTTGATTTTGCGCACATACACTTTTGCACCTTATGACAGTTGCAAATAATGGTAATTTATTATACAGTCACACACACATGATTGCAAAGGGCAAAAAACACAAAATGTGATTCGTTGTGAAGATAAATAATGTTTATAAAAATGTTTATCCTTGCGGCTGGTTTTTCGATCGCGTTGCTTGAGTTGTTTTCAGCGAGCTTCAGCTCTTCCCTAGTGCAAACAATGAATGCTTTAGCATCGCAGCTGTTTGCACTTTATATACATATGGGGTTGGGTTAACGTATACGCCGTGTGTGCTGAACCTGAACCCGAACCGGACAAGGCAGCAGCCAAAACGAGAGCGTGCACGAGAGCGTATGAGAGAGCACATAAGAGCAGCAGCGACTGAAGGCGCAGCGTAGGACAGCGAAATTTCAATCTCTTTCTGGCAGGCGCGCCAGCGTCGACAACTGAATTCAGTTCCGTTGTTTGCCTGCTGCCGATCGCGACTGTTCACGAATCACGAATCACAAGCAACGAGCAACTAACGTCGCAGCAGCAGCGACACGACGCGACGCCGGCAGCGACGCTGACGTTGCTTTTAAATGTGTGTGCAGATGATGGTGGTAGGCAGAGGCAACATTTGCATTGGCTGCGGCTCCACACGAGCGGATTAGACAAACAACAGCTGTATATGTGTATGTGTGAGTGAAGGAAAGGTCGCTCTCCTTCCCACTCCCTCTTTATTCGCACTCTCAGCAGCAGCTGATCCCAACAGAGAAGGGAATTGCGCTTTGACATCGTGACAAGTTGTCACAAGCTGTCGGTCGCTCACTCACAGTTGCCGCTGCTTTCCGGCTGCCTTGCCTGTTTTGGAGTTGGGCTGAATGGGAGAGGTCAAATTGGAGCAGTGTGTTTCCGCTTTTCGCAAATCAGTGGTTTGAAGTTTTGACGGTGTACTTAACTAATTAAAAAGTGTCATATAATTTCATTAACTTTACTTATGAATCAGGCAAGTGTTTTTTGATTTGTCATTTGACAACATTTTAATTATTGTACATTAGATTATTCATTTTCAGCAGAAGTTCAGCAATTAAATTTAAAGAGGGAAAGCGGTGAATAATTAAAATTTCTATCGGCATATGTTATGTCAATGTAAAAAGTAGCCTCTCGCCCTCTCTGCGGTCATACGCTCTCTCAGTGCCTATCGGTTGCTAGCCGTTGAACAGTTATTTGCAGAGCTTCAGTGGTGGCTAATGAAAGAGTATATAAATGCACAAAGAATACTGGAAAGTTCAATGCTTTCCGCTCCTTATTTACGCTCTCTTTAAATTATCAAAGTCTCTTGAAATTTAACGCGTATTCCGATTATTAACAGTTCAGTGCAAAACCGCAATGCATTGCACTCATGTAAAGAGCTTTTTTGGTTTCCCTGCCCACTCTGCGCTCTCTTTGACTTTAAGCAGCTCTTCACTTGCAAATACCGCAAATATTTGCCGCCTGTCAATGAGTGAAGAGTTATCTAGATCGACTGACTGTTAAGCAAATACTCTCGCAGACATACCAACACACACACACACACACACAGCACGCCGAGTGTGAGGCTTCTCAATGCGACACACACACGCACACACACACACACATAATTGTCGAGCTATGAAGGTGGAGGCGGAGGTCGCGTTGCGTTGCGTTGCGTTGCGTTGGGTGTGTTTGCATTGACGACGCCGGCAAAAAAGAAAAAAGGCCGAAAGAAAAACAAACTGCCAACTCTTTTTTTCGCTGTTTTGTTTTTGTTTCTCTTTTTTATTTTTGATTATTTTGTTTACTTTTTTGTTTTGTTTTTGCTAGCGTTGTTTGCGTTCTCGAGCTTTGTTTACACTGGCTGGCGCACGCTCTCGCATCATCAATAGAGGTCTCCAAAAATTTATGAATATCGCGAATTAAATGATTTTACTTTTATATTTTGTTAGTTTTATGATTTTTCACAAATCAACTTGTTTATTATGGAAAATTGTCGTTGATGAGTAAGGGGTTTTTTTAATAGTTTTTTTTTTCTGTTATTATTAATAATGATTTTTTTTTTTTAGTTTTGTTTACCTTTTGCGGCATATACATATTTCTACTTAAAATCTATAGGCTGTTAATGCTTAGTCACATTGGAAAATAACTGTTGGTTGACTTGCGGTTAACTGTGAACCTGTTTTTGATATATACATAGTATAAGTTTATATATAATAAATACATATATATGCTTATATGCATATATTTGGCTACCCTTGATCGAGGGCTGTGAACTTTTTGGAAGTTCTTAACTGACATTCTGAAGGAGCTTAATGTATAATCTCTATGAGCCAAGCCTTCTTTTTGCTGCACAACAGCTGTTGTTGATTTTTCAATTGTCTTTTGAATTTTGTTTTATTGTTGTTTACTTTTTGGAATCATTCGCTTTGTTGTGGTCAATTGCAGGTGTTAAATGCGTATTTATAAATTCATCACAGGTTTTCATTAATTAAGGCAATGTGATTGCAGCACTTTTTACTGTTTTGGAACGTCATGCATATGACCGCAAATTATTCATATTTTTTGTCATACTTTATTTTAATTTTTTTTTTTTTTTATTTTTTTATTGGCTAACAGTGCGTATGCTTATTGCGTATGCATTAAATATTAAATTTCCAAGTCAGTTTGTTTAGCCTGCGTAATACCTGTAATTATCTCCGATAGTTGTTCTCATCAAATGTGGCTCAAGTTCACGTTATTTCATTTTAGTTTTCAAACTGAAAATCCCCTAATATTTTACCCAAGCTTAGATTGTAGATATCTATATATATGTTGATAGTTCGGTTATTTGACAGAGCTGATCAAATTATAGAGTGTTAAAGAGATTCAAGCAAATCCAGAAGAATTCATATATATATCTACTGCTAATAAGAATTGGTAAATCTAGGCTTGTGTTCGCGAAAAACGAGTTAAGCATTTCGTAGACTGGCCTCTGATAACTTTTGGCTTTGTTTTTTGCGACATAGAGATAAGCAGTTATAGAAACAAGAATTTGCTGTTATATATTTATTTGCACCTGTTGAATTTACTGTTTGGCCAACTGGATTTGTCTTTGATCAGAACTGTCGTCAGCATAGTGCATAAAATTATTCAGATATGATAAGCAAATTAGGTAGTTTGGTTAGATTTCGGTTTTTATTTCAGTTGCGAAATTCAAATGAGATTAGAACAAAGCATAAAAGTTAATTTGAAATTACGCTAATTGGCTCAAGTTCAGGTAATTTCATTCTAATTACGCTATCAAACTCGCATCGCGGAGATATATGCTCAATCTGGCGTTTTTATTTTCCACTTTTTTGAGCACCTTGTGAATTTGCAATTTGTATTTGGCTTTCGAAAGTTTCGATTGTTGCA